TTGATGGTTTCATTTTAAGACATGGTATATTAGTGAATTTGTTTAAGTCAATAGCCACGCGAGAGCTATTTATGCCCGCAACCAAGGTGCATGCCCTTGACCAGAATCGAATCTGGGACCCTTCATTCCGCAGGCAGACGCTCTATCCACTGAGCCAAACTGGTTTTGGCATAAATCAACCTTTTTGCTGGGGGAAAAAAAATCATCAGAGGCAGCCAGAAGGAATGGCAACTCTCAGGTTAAAGAATATAAATTTTATATGTTTCTGTAATTGTGAAAAAGGAAGTGCTCTGAGTAAGGGAGAAAATTATCTTCTAGAAGTAATAAACAAGAGGCTGTGGGTTTTACGTTCACTCTGGAATTTATCTAGAGTTTTTCAACTCACCCGGTTGTTCCCGAGATGAAAGTGCCTATGTCAGATGTTCCCTAATGCTAATCAGATCTCACCAGATCACTTCATAGTCCTTGGCACCTGCTGGCATCTCCCTGTGTCTGAGCTTTATTTTGTCAGAAAGGGACGCGGGCTCTGGTCCTGGGGGAGCAGAGGATGCCCGTGTCCCAGGGTGTGCTGTGTGGGTGCATCTTTGTTTGTTCGTTTGTTGTTTTTTAATGCATTTGTATTGATTTCAGAGAGGAAAGGAGATGGAGAGAGAGAGAGATAGAAACATCAATGATGAGAGAGAACCATTGATCAGCTGCCTCCTGCCTGCCCCCAACTGAGGATCAGCCCGCAACCTGGGCTTGTGCCCTTGACCAGAATCGAACCCTGGAGCCTTCAGTCCTCAGGCCAACGCTCTATCCATTGAGCCACATCAGCCAGGGCCTCCCATTGTTTGTTACCATTCACATTTCTGTGTGCTCCTGACCCCCTTGTGCTTTGTGTCTGTCTGGGCATTCGTGTTCAATGCAGTTATAACGTAAAGGTCCATGTATGTCACAGAGCAATTGGGACTGAAGGCAATGCCTAGTGTCAAGGCCGTGCTTATGACTGGTGTGTGGCTCCATGTCAGCAACATTGACTTCATGGCAAAGAGACACTTTTTTTAGACACTTTCTTTAAGAGAAGCCTTTTATGGGTTATTCCCTCTGAGCAGGTTCTGATCTGCGTTTCTGCTTAAATTATGTGACGATGTGCGTTGTACAGAGCTATTAGCTCTTCTGTTAGCATCTGGCACACCCATGGCCCTTCACCATGACCAGGAAGTAAATCAGCCTTTTTTTAATATATATATATATATATATATATATATATATATATATATATATATATATATATATTATTGATTTTTTACAGAGAGGAAGAGAGAGGGATAGAGAGTTAGAAACATTGATGAGAGAGAGACATCGATCAGCTGCCTCTTGCACATCCCCTACTGGGGATGTGCCCGCAACCGAGGTGCATGCCCTTGACCGGAATCGAACCTGGGACCCTTCATTTTGCAGGCAGACGCTCTATACACTGAGCCAAACTGGTTTTGGCATAAATCAACCTTTTTGCTGGGGGGAAAAAAATCATCAGAGGCAGCCAGAAGGAATGGCAACTCTCAGGTTAGAGAATATACATTTTATATGTTTCTGTAATTGTGAAAAAGGAAGTGTTCTGAGTAAGGGAGAAAATTATCTTCTAGAAGTAATATACAAGAGGCTGTGGGTTTTACGTTCACTCTAGAATTTCTAGAGTTTTTCCAAATATTGCGTTTTGAAATAACTTATATGTAAGGAGTGCGGAAGGAGAATATGTGAATGTAACATGTTTTATAATATGCTAGTATATTCATGTGTAGAATATTGGAGCCACTTTCATTTCTCATCTATTTCTTCTCCCAGCTGTTTGAGGGAGGAGTTGAACAGAAATCTTTCTTTGTAATTGACAGCACAGACACTTAGATCTTAGGGCGGTTTCTCCTTATCATAGCTTAAGCTTGTGTGTCAAAAAGGTAATACATCGCGTCAGATTTGTTCAGGACAAAGCCATACTGCAGTTGTAGCATCACATCTATATGTCAGAGCACATTGTGTTCAAAAGCAAACCACTTAGAGAATCAGTGTTCATTTTACAAACCCGAATAAAATGCATTTTATTTTATCAAACAGATTTTTGTACAATGCAGTTTTATTTTTTCAGATGCTTATTTCTCTTAAAAAAAATACCTCCCCTTTTTTTATATATATATATATATATAATGTACTCACTTTCCCTTCTGGCTGAAAACCAGGTATTTAAGCAGAAGTAAAGGATTGCCAGTTTTGCCAGCTGGGGACGAGAACCCGGCTGGTGAAACGTGGGTTCAGGAGGCAGTTAATCCAGCTTTTATGCTTTTTATGGTTTTGTGAAAAAAGAGGTTAAAAACCACATTTGGCTCGCTGCATGTGCCACTGTTTTGCTGGTGGTGGAGGAATGCCGAGATTTAAAATTTTTTTGTTCTTAGGTAAAAATCCCGAATCTATTTGCAAAAGCCCCACAAACAATACAATACATTGTACTAATCGGGCATGAGATAGACTCTTGAATAATCGAAAGTCACTGGTATTGAAAAATTAGCTGTTACAGCATTTCCTCTAAGTACACAAGTAGGATGTCTCGCTTCTTTAGATTTTTTTCTTGTTTTCTTATGTTCTCACATTACTCATCTCAAGCAAATAGATATTTGAAATATTTTGGGCTAAAGATGAAAATGAGAATTTGTTGTTTTTCCCGGAAATTTTTGTTTAGCTGTGATTTCCGGAAGATTTTTGGGAAATGTCGGAGCTAGACTGGAGTTCTTTCTTGTCAGTGTTGTCCTAGGCTTCTTTAGCCATGAACTGTGATACAGTCGCATTAAAATTTTTTTCGTAGCCCTTGAAAATACCACTAAATATCTTTAAGTAACATAGTTTTTTCTTGAAATTATACGCTCCATCTTTTTAAAAAATATATTTGATTTTTTTACAGAGAGGAAGGGAGAGGGAGATAGAGTTAGAAACATCAATGAGAGAGAAACATCGACCAGCTGCCTCCTGCACACTTCCCACTGGGGATGTGCCCACAACCCAGGTACATGCCCTTGACCGGAATCGAACCTGGGACCCTTCAGTTTGCAGGCTGACGCTCTATCCACTGAGCCACACCGTTTAGGGCATGCTCCATCTTAAATACCTGGTGAGCCAAAGGGCCTTAACTGTCAATATGTCACATGGGATTCCATGGAAGTATTGGTAAATTTTAAATAAAATTCACATCGGAGTCATCGAATGCTCTTATGTAATCAGTTGTAAGATTTTTAAAATAAATTTCATAGGTATGGTTTTCTTGATCTGTTTATCACAGAGCTAAGGGGATCACAAGTAAGCTTTAAGATTATTCAAATATAATTTAAAATAAAATATATCCACATATATATATGCAAATAAAGGAAGAAAATTCCATAGAATGCGAAGCAAATCTAATTTTTAAAAAATGATCAGAATTTTCCTGGGACAGGCCTAGCTGGTTTGGCTCAATGGATAGAGTGTCTGCCTGCAGACTGAGGGACCCTGGTTCTGTTCTGGTCCAGGGCACGTGCCCAGGGTGTGGGCTCAATCCCCAATAGGGGGTGAGTAGGAGGTAGGCATTCAATGATTCTCTCTCTTCATAATGTTTCTCTCTCTCTCTTCCTCTGAAATCAATAAAAATATATTTTTAATATTTTTTTAATGGGACAAATAGCAAGTTATCATGTTCCGATGGGAACAGGTTGCTCTAACAGAGCCTGATGCTTTCATATCATTTCTTACTAAATTAATTTTGCGTGCAATGTATTTTGCAAAAACAGATTTAAGGCATAAAGCCCTGGTGGCTGTGGTTCAGTGGTTAGCGCATCAGCTGGCACACCCAAGTATCTCAAGTTTGATTCCTGGTCAAGGGCATGCACCTGGGTTTCGGGTTCTCTTCCCGCCCCTAGTTGGGAGGCGTGCAGGAGGCAACCAGTCAATGTATCTCTCTCACATTGATGTTTCTCTCTCTTTCTCTTCCCCTCCCTCCCTCCCACTCTCTCTGACAAGCAATGGAAAAAAAAAAAATCCTCATGTGAGGATAAACAAACAAAAAAAAGTTAGGGTGTATGGTACACCGGTATCGAGTCCCCGATTTTGTTTGTGTTTAACGGAAATTGCCACTGGGTACGTAAGCTTTGGATACTCAAGTTTATTAGTTCACACCACAGATCTTAGACTCACACTGGCGGCTGCCTCTTTCCGAGCTGCCTCCAAAGCGGTCCATCGTTCTCCTGGCGGCCCTGCCCTGCATGCTTCTCCGTGACGCTGCCCCTTCCCTCCTGTCTTCCACGTGTGATCTTTGTCCCCTAGTTCTCCTCAATTAGGAATGCGCAAGGCATGTCCCGTGTCCCCCTGTCAGCATGGCTCACCTTAAGCTGCCACTTAAGGGTGAACCAGCCTGGACAGTGAAGCGGGCCTGAGAGACCACGTGCAGGCCTGCTGACGGCCTGTCTGGTCCTCGGCCCATGCACGTCTGCCTGCCCTTGGCGTCGGTTGTCTGATACACTCCTTATGTCTCCGCTGACCGTCTCTGGGAATATATCCATCCTTTCAAATAGTCGGTGTGATTGACATCTTTGGAGGATGCTTCGTGTTCAAAGATCAAGATCTAAACGTTGCTACCGAAAGCCATTTGGCTCAATGGATAGAGCGTCGGCCTGCGGGCTGAAGGGTCCCAGGTTGGATTCCGGTCAAGGGCATGTACCTTGGTTGCGGGCACATCCCCAGTGGGGGGGTGTGCAGGAGGCAGCTGGTTGATGCTTCTCTCTCATCGATGTTTCTAACTCTCTGTCCCTCTCTCTTCCTCTCTGTAAAAAAAAAAAAAAATCAATAAAAATATATATTTAAAAAAAAATCCAAGCATTGCTCACCTAGGCTGTGAGAGTGAGGATCCATCTTTCTGTGAAAGTCTCATGTTCTTTAAACGTGGGGCTTTTGGCATTGAACGTGCGGCAGCTCATGGTCTTCCTGCTCTCGCTCGCTCTCAGGTGCTGGAGGACAACGACTACGGCCGGGCTGTGGACTGGTGGGGGCTGGGCGTCGTCATGTACGAGATGATGTGCGGGCGGCTGCCCTTCTACAACCAGGACCACGAGAAGCTGTTCGAGCTGATCCTGATGGAGGACATCAAGTTCCCGCGCACGCTCTCCTCGGACGCCAAATCACTGCTTTCAGGGCTCTTGATAAAGGATCCAAACAAACGGTAGGTGGGCCGAGCGCCACGCCCAGTGAGTCCCTGACGCGCGTGTGGTGAGCGGGTGTGAGAGGGAGATGAACGCCCGTGGGCCTCCTCCAAGAAGCGATGGCTTCGGGTTAGACGTCCCCCGACGGGGGCGCAGGCTTGTTTTTAACTGCGGGGTGTAGAACGTTTAAAAAAAAAAAAAACATGGTGTGGATCAGTGGTTAGAGCATGGGCCTGCGGACTGAAAGGTCCCAGGTTCGATTCCGGTCAAGGGCATGTGCCTTGGTTGCGGGCACATCCCCAGTAGGGGGTGTGCAGGAGGTGAATGTGGAATGACAGGGGCCCGGTAAGTAGGACAACAACTCTTAGAGGTTTGAGCCCCCAGAGATTGACATTGCCTACGGAGAAGGTGTGTTCCGGATTGTCTGCTGGTTCCCTCTACAGTCGCTGTATGTAGCAAGCCCTCCGTCTGCAGTAAAATATGGGGAAGGCAAGGATGAACCGAGTAGCCCCCCGTTTGGGGGTTTGAGGAATGATTGGGGCACAAAGCGTGTACTCACGATGCTCAGGTCACACCATTGCAGAAGTTGCTTTTGAGATGATTAGCCCATCTGGGGGGTTGGAAGCCTTGAGCTGGCTCAGAAGGGGTTGGAGTTAGCACAGGGGTTCCCGCCAGCAATGACATGCAAAGAACAGCTGGCATCGCCAGTGACCACGGGGTAAGCGACTGCTCGCAGTGTGGAATGGGAGTTGGGTAACATGGGGCGATGAAGCTGGCATGTTAGATTGGAAGGACCTAACGTTCCTTAGAAAATGTTTGATCTTTGTTCAGAAGAGGATGAGATGCCACTGAGTCATTAAAGGACAGTAACCCGGCTTGTGTTATGAGAAGGTGCCTCGGGTTGTCCTGGGTGGATGGGAGCAGTGAGGGCCGGGGCAGGGAGGCAGAGCAGGTGAGAGAGGGTTCCCAGGGTCCAGATAAGGGGGTCCTTCCCACAGCAGAGGTCTCGGGGCGAGAAGTAGAACCTGGTGATGATGACAGAGACTCAAAGACGTGGAGAAAATCAGGGACCCGCGGCTCTCCAGCCTGGCGCTGGTCTGGAGAACGGACTGGTATGAAGAGGTGACGTACAGGCAAAGAGAAAATGCATTCTTCCCGTCCCGCATCCCTTATACCTGATGATAACCAGGACTCAGTAGGGTGGCACAGTTGGTGGTTTTCCTCAACTATTTGTTTGCTTTCAAGCCCGTGTGCCAGCTCATAAGAGCCAGTTGTTAAATTTCAAGAATCGTGTGAGCTTGTTCAACGCAGTCATTATTAAAAGCTAAGTTAGCCAGGACCGGTTTGGCTCAGTGGATAGAGCGTCGGCCTGCGGACTGAAAGGTCCTGGGTTCAATTCCGGTCAAGGGCATGTACCTTGGTTGCGAGCACATCCCCAGGAGGGGGTGTGCAAGAGGCAGCTGATCGATGATTCTCTCTCATCGATGTTTCTAACTCTCTATCCCTCTCTCTTCCTCTCTGTGAAAAATCAATAAAATATATTAAAAAAATAAAAAATAAATAAAATAAAAGCTAAGTTATATAGCCCAGGCGGTGTGGCTCAGTGGTTGAGTGTCAACCTATAAACCAGGAGGTCACATGCTCTGGTTGCTGGCTTGATCCCTGGTGTGGGCCCTGCAGGAGGCAAATGATTCTCAATCTCTCCCTTCCTCTCTGAAATCAATTTAAAAAAAAATTAAGAACTAAGATATATAAATTTATAAATTAATATTAATATCAAAGGTAATAAATACTCAAAACTCATCCCTCCGTAATAATTTTGTCACATTTTACTGTTGGCCCTGCTGGGAGTATTTACATCATCAGAATTGGCAAACACTCTTAAGTCAGGGCTTGATTGATTGTTTTGTCGATCATTTAGACTAGAGGCTTCCTAAAATGATATTGGCTTAGAGAATTGACAGTGATAACAGCTACCACTCGCTGTGCTAGTTACTGACTGATTTCTAATCCCTGTAATAACCCACCGGGCTGGGATTATCACCCCCATTCTACAGAGGAGTAAACTGAGGGTAAGGAAGGTTTTCATTGTCGCACATCCCAGAAGTTCCGGAGATGGTTGCCCGGTTCAGGTCTATCACCAAAGCCCATGCTCTTTTCAGATACCGTCCAGTCTTGAGAGGAGTTCCTGTTAATTAATAGCATAATAGGGAAATGAGATCTTACACCTAAAGGTTTTTATTTTTATAGCTATTCATCATAAGAACCACTTACCACACAGAGAATCACATTTCACAAAGACTTGTGTTCTGCACTGGCTCGTGCAAGTGTCTCATGCTCATTTAATTTTATTCCTGTCTGCACAGCCTTGGCGGAGGACCAGACGATTCAAAAGAAATTATGAGACACAGTTTCTTCTCCGGAGTAAACTGGCAAGATGTATACGATAAAAAGGTAGGTTATCTTCCTGCCACGGTGTCTGTCTATTTGTGGCTAAAATGAATTTTGCATCCAAAAAAAAAATGTGAGTCAAATTTAATAATAGCATGGTATTTTTCATTTTTTAACCTATCATTTAATTGAGTATTGAACTTCTAGCACACAGTCAGTCTTATTGATAATTTCGACTCCCAAAACACACCTTGAAATTCTACTCAGGCCGAAACCGGTTTGGCTCAGTGGTAGAGCGTCGGTCTGCGGACTGAAAGGTCCCGGGTTTGATTCCGGTTAGGGGCATGTACGTTGGTTGCGGGCACATCCCCGGTAGGGGGTGTGCAAGAGGCAGCTGGTCAGTGTTTCTCTCTCATCGACGTTTATAGCTCTCTATCTCTCTCCCTTCCTCTCTGTAAAAAATCAATAAAATATATTTAAAAAAAAAAAAAAGAAATTCTACTCAGTGTGGTGAAACAGTTGATTTTTCTTCAGCAATACTCTTCCTTCCTTGGAGATGCAGGTTTCTTTCTGATATTATTCCACTTTAGCCAAAAAAATTTCCATGATCATTTCTTTTTTCTTTTTTTTAATAAGTTTTATTGATTTCAGAGAGGAAGGGAGAGAGAGAGAAAGAGAGAGAGAGAGAGAGAAACATCAATGATGAGAGTGAATCAGCGATCAGCTGCCTCCATCATGCCCCCTACTGGGGATTGAGCCCCCAACCCAGGCATGTGCCCTGACTGGGAATCGAACCGTGACCTCCAGGTTTTTAGGTTGATGCTCAACCACTGAGCCACGCTGGCGAGGCAACCCTGTCATTTTAAAAAGATGCAAATAAATTTAAGTCGTGCTCTTAGGATGAAAGGGAATTGACTTACAAATCAAAACAGGAAGATATATGGAAAATCCCCAAGTATTTGGAAATTTGAAGTTTAAGTAATTCATGCGTTACAGGAGAAACAAAAAAGCAATTGTGGATCATCATCGCGTCCCTTACACTCACCAGTTCGTTCCCTGCTCTTCAGTTGTATCCTAAAGTTAATCTCCCTGCATTGAAATCTCTTCTCCGGTACTTTTTCTTTCTTTGTACAGCTTGTACCTCCTTTTAAGCCTCAAGTAACATCTGAGACAGATACCAGATATTTTGATGAAGAATTTACAGCTCAGACTATTACAATAACACCACCTGAAAAATGTAAGTAAACCTTGAAGGCGATTCATAACACTCTGATATAACAGAAGAAAAAAAAAAAGAAGTTGTTTTTATTAGATACCAGAGCAGAGGCCCGGTGCATGACATTCGTGCACTGGGTGTGGGGGTGCGGGTTGGGGGTCCTCAGCCGGGCCTGCACCCTCTCACAGATCCCCGAGTTTCCCGTGTCAGAGAATGAGCCCTGTCGTGTGGGCTCGGGCGTGCGGGATGCGGAGAACCTTTTTTACTGTGAAAGGGAAGAAACGGAAACCTTGCTTTATAGACAGAGGTGTGTTCTGGGAACAGACCAGCCGTAAGGAGGCAGGCGGCGTGTTCCTCTGTGCACACCGCTGCCCGCCCACCCACTCGCCCTGCCAGTGTGTGTTGTTATAGTTACGGGGCAGCCTGGAGGGCAGCGCTGGCGTTCCTGCGCTCCTGTCTCTGCCCTCTGCGGGAGGAGGGGCCGGTGACCCAGAAGCTTCCGCTGCCCCTGTGCCATCTGGGAAAGGTCCGAGAAGGGGGGCCACAGGAGCAGGGGCGCAGGCGGGCGTGGCCTGAGCCTCTGAATTCTTCCTCCAGATGTGTGTGGTTTGGGTCCTCCTAGCCTCCTTCCTGCTCGTTATCACACTGCTCCCTGTGCACCTCCTAGCAGAGCAGGAATGGCGTGCTCGCCCCAACGGGGCGACCGTGTGTGGCCTGTAGGTCGCCGCGCTGTCACTGCTACTTGCTCCTGGCCCCTCCCACCCCCACCCGCCTGTCTGTGCAGTGCAATGGCCTACGGCCTCGCTCTCCCAGGCCTGCAAGGTGAGGCACGTCCCCGGCTTTAAGGATGCTGGAGGCAAAGGGTTACCTCCAAGGGGTAGGTTTCTGAGCCGTCAGAAATGGGTTTAATTCGTTTCCCGGGCAGAGACACGCCCAGCAAAACAAGCTGTTGATGGGAAAACGGGTTCTCTGGCACATGATTGGCACCTGTCAGAGTCGGGATGTTAGGTTCCCGCCTCCTCTCCTCCGGGGAGTTTGACGTGATGTGACTCAGAGACCGTCCGTGTGCCCAGCGGGGCTGACAGCACCGCGGACGGCAGGGCCTTTGAAAGGTGCGTCTGCTTGGTCCTGAGCAGAGCTTAGCAGCAGGAGGCAGATTCCCTTCAGACACAGCGTCACCCAGAAGTGCGTGGCCACAGGGAGAGGCCCCGCGTGGGCCGCTTGCAGAAAGCCGGACCAGCGCGCTGCCTCACGGGCGGATTGAAGGGTCCCGGGTTTTAATCCGGTCAAGGGCACAGGCTCCCGGCCCTGGTCCCAGGCCTGCCAGAGGCAACCAATTGATGTGTCTCTCTGACATCGTGTTTCTCTCTGTCTCTCCCTCTCCCTTCCACTCTCTAAAAATCAATGGGAAAATATCCTTGGGTGAGGATTTAAAAAAAAAAAAAAAAAAAAGGCAGAAAAGACGAGCATGGCAGAAGAGCAGGAAGCGTTATCTTCAGTGCCCACCTCACCCCGTACCGGGAGTCTGGCCTGTCCTCTCTCCCATCCGCCGGGCGCCCAGAGAGGCTGGGCGGAGGAACGGGCTGTGCGTGTGCGTTGGAGGCAGGGGAGGGGTTCTGCTTTAGGAAAAGCAGGTTGGGCATTTGAGGGATTCCTTACTTCCTTCACTGTGGTCCTGCAACCCAATGGGGGAGACCTCCTGGGGCCCCCTCAGGCAGGGAGCCCGGGGGCGGGGCCGGGAGCAGAAGCGCAGGGGAAGCTGTGGCGAAGGCCAGCACCCTGACTGGGGTGTCCCTCCTGTCCCATCATCTGAGATCATGACAATCCTTCCCACACAGGAGTCCCGAGACACGAGCGGGGAGTGGCCCTGCCCGGAGCCAGCAGCTGCCTGGGCCTCCCGTCCGTTCCCCGTACCTGGTCCTGGCACGGCCTCCTGCCCTGTCTCTCTCTCTCTCTCTCTCTCTCTCCATTCTGGTCTCACATTCGGTCCTAGGAAAACGGCCAGACGGGCAGGGCAGGTAGCAGATGTACAATAGACATGAACTCTTATTAAACACCCGCACGGGCCCAGATAAAACGGAATCCTGGCGCTGTATTCGCAGTCACAGCTAAAGCACGGGACGGAAAGCACTAACATTTCAGAGACCAATTTCAGGAGCTGGTCAGGAGTCTCGGGAGCCCACGGGTGCTGGGGGGCCCTTCTAATCCATGTAACACTCTGCTTCCCTCCGTAGCGCTCAGGTTATTGAGTCTCAGGCTGTGTGTGTCATGAAGGAGGTGACTTGCTAGTATCATGTCCTCCCAGATCACGTGTTTGGAAACGGGAGACGTGTGAAATAGGTTTCCCTGCTGTGTGTTTTTATGGACAAACCCAAGTGTCTAGAGGCTGTTGCCTCTGCATCTTCATTATCTGGAAGTGAGGACCGTACGGACCAGAGCTGGTGTTGCCAAAAGCAAGTGTCACCTGGCCCGTGTGGCTCAGTAGTGGGGCGTCAGCCTGTGAACCAGTAGGTCACGGTTCGATTCCCGGTCAGGGGAACACGCCTGGATTGTGGGCTCCATCCCCACCTGGGAAGGGAGGACGTGCAGGAGGCAGCCGCTGGGTGATTCTCTCATCACTGATGTTTCTCCCCGTCTCCCTTCCTCTCTGAAGTCAATGAAGACACATTTTTTTTTTTTTTTAAAAACAAACAAGCGTGAGATTGAAATGATTGTTTCTGCCCGCAGACGATGAGGACGGCATGGACAACGAGAACCGGCCGCACTTCCCTCAGTTCTCCTACTCGGCGAGCGGCCGCGAGTAGGCCCCCGCGCTGCTGCCTGAGACTCATCCCGAGATCGGCTGCGGGACCGCGGGCAGTGCAGTCCGGCCCCTCCCTCCGCGGGCGCCTCCAGACACCCCGACCGACCGACCGACCGACCGGCTGGCCGGCCCCGCCCTCGCCACCTCCACCCACCTGAGAACACACATATACGCAAATACACTCGACTTTCCGTTTTTTTGCATGAAATTGTATCTCAGTCTAAGGTCTCATGCTGTTGCTGCTGCTGTCTCACTCTTAGAGCAACTCTCCGAGGCCGCCGCCCGGCCCCCGGGGAGCCATGAGCCCACACGCCGCCCGTCCGCCCGCTGGCGCCTCCTGTCTCCCGGCCGTGGCTTCTCTCCGGCAGCGGAGGGTCAACGGGACACACGGACGCTAGGTACATTTTTTTTTAAACTCTCTTAGCAGCTACACCAGAACCTAACGAGCCTGAGAAGATGCAGTGTGTGATTCAGAGCGAGCCGCGGTGGCAGGGTGGCCGTGTGCAGGCGCCGGTGCAGGAGAGCCCGGTGGCAGAGCAGAGCCTGACGCAGCCGGCGGCCACGGCCACGGCCACGGCCACGGCCACAGCCACCGGCCCACGCCCGTCAGGAACATCTGCGAGGACTGCCCAGCGGGCGGGGTGTGGCCTCTCCCGGCGCCTGCATCCACGTTCCCGTTGGATCCCATAGAGGAAGACATGGTCGTCCAGGCCTCCCAGGCAGATGGCAGAGGAACACGGGAGGAAGGAAGGAAGAAAGGAAGCAGATGTGCAGCCGAGTCAAGGTCACTCCAAGGTCGCCGATGGCACCGGCACCCAGAGAGCACCGCTCCCCTGGCGCCGGGAGACCGTATTCCATCGCCTGACCGACCGACCGCCTCTGACGGCTGAAGAAGGCAGGCGGGCGTAACGGTCCTGCTTGCCCCCACAACGCGTCCCCCGAGGCCCGCGGGCGCTCGCCGTGTCGGTTTTCCTTTTCCGTTGCAGTTCCGCGTGAGTTGGCTTTTCCTCCCTCGGACGTCAGACCTGCGAATGTCCTCTCTGACTCTGTTCCTCTCGCAGTAGTATTTATTTTTTAGTGACGAGAATCGCAGACGCAGCCCCGACGTCACCCAGAGCAGACGTGCCGCGGTTCCCTCTGCCCCGCAGGCGAGGGACAGGCCCACCGGCAGGACTCTGCGCCTTCCCTCCTTCGAGAAAGACGACTTTGACTTTGGCTTTGTCGAGGCTCCGGGACGGAACTCGCCCGGTGGGACCTGGTTCCGGGAGAAGAGACGCCGCCCGCCGACCCCTTGGTGCTAAGAACGAGAACATCCCCAGCTCGCCCGCGCCCAGGGGGTCACGGCACAGACCGGGCTGCTGTCTGCTCCGCCGAGAAGGGAGGTGTCGGGACGGCCAGGCCGCCAGAGCAGAGACACACACGGAGTCCGGCGTGACCCTGAGTGAACCCACCCGGCCGAGTGGACACATCGCACGTCCTGGCCACTGAGGCAGGGGAAGCTAAGAGCCGGTGTGTGTGTGTGTGTGTGTGTGTTCTGATCATGGTACATTCATCGCCGAATCAAGCCATCAGGGAAACAAAACAACACACAAAAGGAACACCTCCAGCCGTCCTCTCTCTGTATATACTCCCGTCCCCACGCTCCTCTGCTCCCACCGGCCGGGGGGGCGGGGGGGCGCGTATGCAAACCTCATCTTCCTCCTCCATCGACGACGACGATCTTCAGACTAAACCCTTTGGTGCTAGGAGCTGACCTTTTCCAAAGCAACGGAGGAGACCCAGGCCGGGGCCTCCCGGGGGGGCGATCCTGGAGGCGTGTTTCCTTCAGTTCAGCTCTCTGAGCTCCCACACGGAAGGCCACGGCGTGACGCAGGCTGGCAACCGAGGGGCGGACACGGGGGGGGGCAGGCGATGGCCGAGCGGGGTGCCTCATACTCACACGCAGCTGTCTTAGCCGCGGCGCCGGGAGCGAGCGTGGGTGGGGGTGCGGACGGGAAACCACTGCCGGCGAGGGTGGGCCCGCTGGGACCGCCGGGGGTCAAAGGGCATTTTCCTAAGGCAGCTAAGACATATTCCACATAGATGTTACCCCTGATTTTCCATATCTCCACCTGAGTGAGGTCCATCCTTAGTATCGAGTAGGAAGTTGCAGTCTTCAGTAGTTCATTCTTACACACACACACACCGCTCAACTTTTTTTTTTTTATTTTTTTTCCACTTGGAATTACGTTGAATGTTTCACATGGACAAGAAGGTAGACTAGAAGGTATGTCTTGTACGTTGTCTTTGCATTCATTTGGTTAAAAGAAAAAAAACAACAACAACAACTACAGGTGAGAGGAAGGGGAGAGAGCTGGGACTGGCTGCCCACGGCCTGGGCTCCCTCCGTGGGAGGCAGGACTCCACACACTAAGCACATCGGTAGCTTTCTTCTTGTTTGTTTCTTTCCAAACACGAAGGTGATTCCCATGACCTCGGCCAAGGTCGCGGCCTAGAGACCCGAGGCAGCGCTGACGGCGCCCGGGCTGGCCACTCCTCACCTCCGCCGGCCCCGGTCCTGCCGGTGCCCGGGCCCATCCCCCCAGGTGTTCCCTTGGCCTTGATCTTGAGAATCACCCTTCCTCGGGCTCCCAGATGTCAGTCAGCCGGCCGGAGGCAGAGCGGAGAGAGAGAGGGGGGCATAGGCAGAGGGGTTCTCATGGTTTGGATTCCGCCCGTGGCCAGGCCCGAGCGAGCCCCGGAGCGGTCCTCAGCGCAGGTGGGACAACGGTGCGGGCGCCACCTTGAACTTGACGCCCGTGACCTCTGCCCCCCTCGGCCCCCGCAGCGTGGAGGCGGGCAGGGCAGCTCACAGCTTCGCTTCCCACGCGATCGATTGCACGCACCGTCCAGTACCGTGTCCCCCCTCCCGTCCCCACCGGGGGGGGGGGGGGGAGGGGGGGTTCTCTGGCTTCTTAAAGCTGACTGTTCTCTCGGGGGGGCCCCTTGCTTCTCCGGGGGACGGAGCAAGGACCCCCCCCCCCTCCTAACTGCAGGGTCTCCACACACCTCAGTGTCCACACTTTGCTGCTACTGTTCGTACCGTCTCGGTAGAATCTCCTCATCCTGCTCCTGGGGGTGGGGGGTGCATTGCAGGCGAGCATGAAATGTAAAGTATTTATTTAAATAAAAAGAGAACCTCTCCATTGGCCGTCGAGTCACCTCCCCGTAGCGTTAGCGTCTGTGTGTGACCTCTCCTGACCTTGCCAGTTCTCTCGTTAGATCCGCGAGGGATCTCGTCGCCGGCGAAGGGTGTCGGCGGACGCCGTGACGAGCCCAAGGAACTGTGTCCTCCCCACAACTGTCGGTCACCCCGAAACCGTCTCTCCCTCTCCCCCCCCACCCCCCCCGCCCCGAGTCCACGGCCCACACGGATGTGAACTGAGGACGAGGACCTGTTTTTGTACACTGTACATCCTTAGTATTTTTACACGTCTCGGCCAGGGGTGCCCGTGTCTCCCCCCCCCCCGTACAGACAGCTGAATAAAGCACTGTGTCAATCCGCCACTTCTCCGCTTGTTGTTGTTGGATGTGGTTCTGGGATGGCAGAAAACGGAATCCTGGCCTTTTCTGGGGGGGGGTGGGAAAGGTTTTCAGGAGCTCCACCTGGTAGTCACCGGCCTGGGATAAGACGTGGCAGGAAAAGGTATAAATGTCTCGTAGCTCCAGTCACACGTGGGCTGCGTCCATCCGTCTAGTAAGACGGCAGGCGTGTGGCCGTGCAGCCCTGGCAGAGGCCGTGTCCCAGGGAGGGGAGCTCCCGGCACCCGGTCAGTGTAGCCCCCAGTGTGAGACCCTCCCCACCTCCCCAGCGGGCGGTCTGGACCAGGCCGAAGCCGTGTGGCTCATCGGTGATGTCTTCCTGGCCACATGAGGCTCAGCTTCCTTCCTCCCGGAGCACCTGTTTCTGGAACGGGGGGCACAGTAAACGTGGACGTGAGGGGGATGGAGGAGACAGGAGTTGGACCGCGGTCTGATGGACCTGGGGTCCTCAATGGATGGAGCTTTTATCTGACGTTACCTCATAAAACTGCCCCAGTGGGGCTGGCTCTCTCCTGGGATTCGGCCGGACAGAGGACCGGCTTAGGGACCGAAGTTGGACAAGATGGATGTGGACGTGGCCGCCACACGCCAACCAGGGCATCCGCACGGATGCTCCCCACCCCACACCACGGGGCTGACGGTCCGGGAGGCGGGAATCAGTGACCTCTGGTTTTCTCTGGTGCTATTTTTAGACTCTTAGGTCATTTACTCCTAGACCAGAATTAGGGACAACGTCCATCCCTTAACGCCATGGCCTTGATCTCCAGTGCGGTGGGTGAGACCGAAACCGCCTGACTCCGAGCAGAGGTTCTGCTCCTTCGGGCGGAACCTCATGCTGGAGAGGCTCACGTGGTCTTTGTGCGGGCGCCCTCCCACACCCATCTCCAAAGCCCCACACGGTGACCCCGAGAGGCCTGGCTGGTGACAGTGCCAGGGGATCACTGGCCCCGAGGTCAGCCCGAGAGCGGGGACTTGCCCGGGTGGCAGCTGCCTGTCTGGTTCCAGTGCCATTCTCAAGGACAACGAGGCATGCCAGTCCCGCTTTACCCCTTAAAAGCATCGGGGGCCTGTGTGTAGCTGAGATACCGGTTGAGATTGAACAAATGGTCTGTGTCCAGAGACTGAGGGAGGTTGGGCGTTCCCAGGCCCCTCACTAACAGGGCATCTGGGAAAGGAGCATGAACCCCCTGGCCAGCCGGAGAGGCCTGTCTGTGATTGTTGCTTCCGTGTTTCCCCAAAAATAAGACATCCTCCCGAAAATAAGACCTACTTACAGGTTTCCTTCTGAGTGAAATATAAGGCATCCCCCCGAAAATAAGGCCCTCCCCTAGGCTCTATCTCAGAATGCTATTGCTAAACATGAGAGATTTGGTCCACTGATTCTGAAAGAAATGGAGTCACAAGAAATTCACCAGGAAATTCAGGAATTGGATTGTTAGGATGATGTTCCAGAAGATGATGACATGATTGTCATTGAATAAATGAGTCAATTCTTGATATTGTAGGATTCACAGTTTGTCTGGTTTGTGTTGACAACTACCGTACTACCGTACCGTATACAGGTAATACATCTCCTTTATTTTCATTTAACAATAAATGTGTTTCGTATTCTTCTTCATGGAAAAATAAGACACATCCCCTAAAATAAGACCCAGCGCATCTTTGGGAGCAAAAATTAATATAAGACACTGTCTTATTTTCGGGGAAACAGGGTAACAGCGAGGAGAGGAGGATGCTGAGGACTTCAGGTTAGCGGGATGCGGCCAGCGGAGTGTCTCGGATGGAGGCGGGAGGCGGGGTGAAAGGATGCTCTGTGGGCGGCGGAGAGGGAAGGAGCAGGGGAGGCAGGAAGCACACGGAGTGTCCTCCGCGCCCTGCGGCCTGGTTACAATATGTGCCTTTTCAGTGTGTCCTGTCCATCACTACATGGTAGAGCGTCCGCATCACCACTTGAGTCTTTCCCAAGTTCGTTTATTGAAACCCATACGTGTGACACCCATCGCATACACATGAGCAGATGTAAACGTGCGGTACCTCGAAGCCATTTCCAGAATCCCACGCCGGGAGGGGGCCGGCTCCAGCCGGAGACGGGGAGGACCAGCCCCGGCCGGAGGCGGGCCCCGGGGAGTCTCGGTGCATTGTGGCACGTCCCGTGCGGTTCGGATGAATGTAAATATTCTCTGTAAATCACTGGTTCCGCTGTTCCATCCGGGTCAGCCATCGGACTGTGGCATGCTGGGTCACTGGAAAAAAAGAAAGAAAATAAAGAGGACGTTTAAATAGATCCTGTCCTTCCATGTGATTTGTCTTCTCCCTGGTATTTGGAGGGAAATAATGTCTTATGCCAACAATGTAGAAAGTGAAGGTAGCCACCGAGATGGAGAGTTTGCAACTCACCTTCCCCAGTGGAATAAGAACATAAGGTGAACTCTTTTTAAAAAATGTTGATTGATTGGAGAGAGAGAAACATCCATCTGTTGCTCCACTTGCTTATGCATTATTGGTGGATTTTGTATGTGCCCTGACGGGGATCAAACCCTCAACTCGGTGTATCGGGACAATGCTCTAAGCCCAGTAGTCAGCAAACTGCGGCTCGCGAGCCACATGTGGCTCTTTGGCCCCTTGAGGGTGGCTCTTCCACAGAATACCACGGCCTGGGCGAGTCTGTGTTGAAGAAGTGGCGTCAGAAGAAGTTTACGTTTAAAAAATGTGGCTCTCCAAAGAAATGTCAATCGTCGTGCTGTTGATATTTGGCTCTGTGGGCTCTTGAGTTTGCCGACCAATGGTCTAACCCACTGAGCTACCTGGCCAGGGCCCATTTCTCTCTCTTTCTCTCTCTCTTTTTTAATTTATTTTCATTGACTTCAAAGGGGAAGGGAGAAGGAGAGAGAGAAAGAGATAGAAACATCAATGATGAGAGAATCATGGATCGGCTGCCTCCCTCTTGCATAGCCCACACTGGGGATCGAACCTGCAACCTGGGCATGTGCCCTGACCAAGAATCGAACCGTGACCTCCTGGTCCATAGGTCGATGCTCCACCACTGAGCCCCGCGGGCCGGGCCGGGCAGGGCCCCTTGTTTGATGCCTTACATCTGCAGTGCAGACAGACGCCTGCATCTCCGGGAAGAGCCGTGTGAGTTGCGTGGCCGGAGCCCCGTCTCCTCCCCGTCCACAGAAGGAGATGCTGACTCCTGCCAGGGCGTGGCGCCTGAAAACGGCTCCGACGACGTTACCGCGAGCGAGCAAACCCGGTGCAGGCCGAGTGTCCCTGAGGAACTGCCTGGGTCACCGCCAGCTTTGTGGCTGCGGACACTACGGTAACGCACGGAAAGGCCTTCCCCTCCGGAACCGCCCCCCGCAGGTGGAAGGAAGAGGGGGTCTGGTGCCAGGGGCTCTCAGCGGTAAAGGTGTCCATGCGTCCACTGGTCAGGGAGGTCGGGCTGTGGAGTCACGGGTCAGAGACGTGAGTCCCGCTGCCGGCCTCTCAGTGCAAACTGCGCGGGGAAGCACGCAGTCCCCCTCTGTGCTGTGGGGGAGGCCCCGGGGTGAGGGGACTGGATGGGGAGCTCAGGGGACACCCCTCCCTCCCAGCTTTCACCCCTGCAGGTGAATCAGGACGCGATGCGGGCCTTGGGCCGGCCGGGTCTCTGTTTTGCAGCCTCGGCCCCGCCCGCAGGTGCCCTGGGCCTGAGGGGCAGAGTGGCAGCACCTGTGAGCTGCTTGTTGGGCTTTCCCAGCCCGGGCCAGGCGTACAGCGAGGTCAGAGGTCAGCATTCCCGCTTCCTTTTCTTGTTTTTATTGTTCCCACTTGGTCCAGTGCGTGGGAGAGGCCTCGGGTGGCTTGAAGGATGTTTGTAGATTCAGGGAGAGGCTCAGGCAAAGCCAGAGACCGTGCTGAGGCCCCCAGAGGCCTCTGGGCTCCACGCCGAGCCCGGCTGGCTGGATGGTGAGCCTTGCAGGTGTGGCCCCACTTCCCGATGAGCGGCCCCACGGGAAGTCCCGGGGGCGGGGCTGCGGGCAGAGCCAAGGCTGCTGCTCCCAAGGGCCTGAGTCAGACCCTCTCCAGGCCCCAAAGCCTCCAGGGCGCCCTGAGGGTCCCCCTCCTGCCAGGGAGGCCCCGTCCTGGGAGGAGGCGGCCACTCACTGCTGAGATGCTCAGCGCCCTGGCCCCATCCTCAGAGCCACCCTGTTGTGTGCAAACAGAAGCCCCGAGAGAGGTGAGTGTGGGGCGCAGAGGGGTGGCCAGCAGGTGGGGGCTCCCCCGGGTGGAACAATGGGGTGACTGTAGGGTCGGGTGGAACAATGGGGTGACTGTAGGGTCAGGTGGAACAATGGGGTGACTGTGGGGTCGAGGCGGTGCTCAGGAGGGAGTCAGGGGGGAAGAAAGCGGGGTGCGGGCTGGTCTGGAGGCGGGTGTGCAGGGGAGACTGGGGGAGAGGCCGGAGGGGGTCGGGGCTGGGGGAGGGGCGCCCTGGGTCTGTCCCCGAAACCTCTGGACCCAGGCCCGCCCAGCGCCCTGACTTTCTCAGAAAGTGGTGGTGTTTATATCTCACAGAGGTCTCCAGGCTGATAGAGGGGTTTCGGCACAGCAATTACAAAATGTGCGCTGGTCTGGGGGGCGTGGGGTGGGGACAGACCTGGGGGACTCCCCTGGGAGCTGCGGTGGCAGAGGGGCCCTCTTTCCCCGGGGCTGCCACGGCTCCGGCCCACCCCCCCACGGGCCCGCCTCTGCGGCGCCTGCAGCTGCTCTGCCTTCGGCCCTGATGGGCCTGGCGGGCGGGCGGGAATGGGTGAATCTCCCCCTCGGTCCCGGGGCTGCCCGCTGGCCTGGGGGGCCGGGACGGGGGTCCGTCCTCACGTCCACGGTGTGTTTCCAGCGGGAAAGGTCACGCGGTCATGGGCACCATCGGGGCGAGGTGAGGGGGAGAAGCTGGGGATGGACGGCAGGCTTTTCCCGCACCAGCTCCGGGGAACGCGGCTCTCAGCACCCCACCCTCAGCAGGCCCGACCCCTGCCGGCGGGGGCGGGGGCGGGGGCTCCGGGGCCCACCCGGGAGGGCCCAGACGCGGGGTCCTCAGTGTGGACAGGCCGAGTCACCCCACTCCCGCCCCAGCATCCACTTCTCTTCAAGGCTTTGTTTTCTTTGTTTTTTAAATATTTATTGACATGAGAGAGAGAGAGAGAGAGAGAGGGAGAGGGAGAGGGGGAGGGGGAGAGAAACATCAATGATGAGAGAAAGTCATGGATCGGCTGCCTCCTGCACGCCCCCTACTGGGGATGGAGCCCACACCCCGGGCCTGTGCCCTGCCCGGGAATCGAACTGAGACCTCCTGGCTCACAGGGGGGTGCTCAGCCCCTGACCCCGTGGGCCGGGCCAGGCCCTGTGCCTTCGGTTTGGGTGGGAGCTGCTCTCCCCTCTGTCCAGCGCCCGTGAGTGGGGAGCTCAGTCCACAGGATGTGCGCTGACCCGCTGTGTCACCGGCCGCCCAGCACTGTGTCGCCCGCCCTCAGTGGCTGAGCCTCCAGGACATTTCCCAGCGCGGCCCCTCCTGCGCCTTCCACCCTGCGCCCCCGTCGGTCGGAGGCGGAGAAGCTGTGATGCCACCAACCCCGGCTCCCTGCCCTCCCCTCAGGGCTGAGGCCTGATTTCCAGAAAGCGGCTGCCTTCCCCAGCTGCAGCGAGCGGTCCGCTGTGCGGGGACCAGGCGCTCGGCCATCTCACTCCTGGGTCAGCCCCGCCACCTTCTCCCCGCCCTCCTGCCTTCCTGCCTGTCAGCCACGCCCCAGCTGCCCTGCAGGTCAGGGGGGTGGGGGGCCAGGGCACCTGTCAGCGCGCTCTTGTGGGCGAACACTGTGGCCCTCTCTCTGTTCTCTGAGTCCTAAGGGAGCCTCTCTCCACAGGCCCTGGCCTCTGGTCTAAGGCCGTGGTCGGCAAACTGCGGCTTGAGAGCCACACGCGGCTCTTTGGCCCCTTGAGGGTGGCTCTTCCCACAAAACACCACGGCCTGGGCGAGTCTATGTTGAAGAAGTGGCGTTAGAAGCAGTTTAAGTTTAAAAAATGTGGCTCTCCAGAGAAATGTCAACCGTTGTGCTGTTGGTGTCTGGCTCTGTGGACGGATGAGTTTGCCCACCGCTGGGACAGAGGCCCAATCACAGGAACAGCAGCCTGTAATTACTGGAATGGAGAGTCTAGGGTAGGGGTGTCAAACTCAATCAGAGAAGGGGCCAAAATCTAAAATCCAGCCTAAATCGCGGGCCGAATGGTTTACTGAACAGTCATAAACTGTCATTGTGATGGAAAGGCAGCGGAGTGCAGTGATGACAGCGCGGTGCGGGCCACATTGCAAGGCCTGGCGGGACGGATTTGGCCCTCGGGCCTTGTGTTTGACACATGTGGTCTAGGGCGTAGTCTAAGGCATGTCTGAGGTGTGACCTTTAAGACTGAGTCCCTGGGTGGCCTCAGTGGTTCCCGGTGACCAAGCTGTGGTTCCCGGCAGAGCCCCTTCTGTTGCTTTGTCCCCAAACCCGGGCGGGGGCACCCTCTGGGCCCAGCCTGACCGGCCCCAGCCCCCCAGCTGCCCCTGCAGGTGGACTCCACGTCCTGCTCCTGCGTTGTCCCCGTCCATGTGCGGGTCACAGGCCTCGGGGAGAAGCATCCGTCTCTACCTGCAGGGCAGCTGGAAGGCCCCGTCCGCAGAGCTGGGGATGCTGCGGCCCAGGCCTCAGGCTCACCCACTCCCTGCCCAGCAGGCCCGGCCCCCACGCTGACTGGGACACAGGGAAACTGCCCTCCCCTGGGGATGGCCACCCCCTCCCATCCCACCCCTCCTGCTGGGCTGGGGCAGGAATACAGCTTCTGGGAATGTGCTCCCCCACTGCCCTCTCCACTTGCTCGGTCACTCCCCCTCCGGGCCTCCTTCCCTCCTTGTGCAAACAGACGCCAGAGGGTCCAGCCCCGGCCCCTTCACACCCCGTGGCCTCTGCAGGGGCCCTGGAATGGGCCCCCTTGTGAAGGGAGGCCGTTTGGGTTGTTTGTTTTATTTTTTATGCTTTTTAATTTCTTTATTGATTAAGGTATCACATATTTGTCTCCATTGGTCATTCGTTTTAAACCAGAAACTGAGTAAAATGGGAGCTGAAAGGTTGGTCTGAATGGGGAGGAGCTGAGACTTGAATGGGGTGGGGGGGCGGGTGTGTGCTGGACCCAGACCTCAGAGTTGGGCTCTTGGATGCTGTTCTGAGCAGCGGAGCGAAGCCTGAGCAGCCGGGTCTGCCTTTGTGGGACTCGGTCAGGGACAGACCCACAGGCCACGTGGAACGAACAGGCCCGGGATTGGGCAGCACTAGCCGGCCAGTCCTCTATGCAGCTCTGCAAGGCGGCCTCTGGTGAGCCTGACCTCTGACCCCAGTGCTCCCCTGGGGCACAGGGTGTGCCTCCGGGTCAGTGCGGTCTTGGCTCCCCTCCTCCCCCAACAGGCAAGTGACCCAAACTCTGGCTGGGCCCTCCCCCCTCCCGCTGGTCCTCCCCCCTCCCGCTGGTCCTCCCCCCTCCCTCTGGTCCTCCCCCCTCCCGCCGGACCTCCCCCCTCCCGCCGGTCCTCCCCCTTCCCACTGGGTCCTCACCCCTCCCGCTGGGTCCTCCCCCCTCCCGCCGGTCCTCCCCCCTCCTGCTGAGCCCTCACCCCTCTCACTGGGCCCTCCGCCCTCCCGCTGGTCCTCCCCCCTCCCGCTGGGCCCTCACCCCTCCCGCTGGTCCTCCCCCCTGGCTGGGCACAGCCTTTCCTGGAAGCGGCTGTTGCAGCTGCAGGGACAGGAGGTCAGGGCAAGGTCACCAGGCCCAGCTCCTCATCCTCCCATCGCTGCCCGGGAGCCGGCCAATGGTGGGCCAGCTGGGCTGGAAGGGGAAGCTGGGGAGCCAGGAGGGCCCTGGACGGGTGGGGGGCCTGTGTGGAGGGTGGGGGCAGTGAGGGCCTGACTCCTTGGCTCCTGGGAACAGCATCTTGGGGCGGGATGAGGGGAGGCGGGGGACTCACACCCAGGAGGGAGGGGTCAGAGGCCGCGCGGCCCCAGGGGCTGGCATCCCCCAGGAGCTCCCTAACGGGCTTCCCTCTGAGACTCGGGGTCCCGGGAGTCCCCGCCCTCTGCCTGGAAGGTAAACAGAGGCAGAGGGTTCCGGGGACAGACAGTGCCACCCCAGCCGGCGCCCTGGCTGCGGAGCGGGAGGCGCCGGCGGCAGCTGCCCTGACATTTGGGGTTGCTGTGCCGGAGCCGCAGCCTTTTACAGGCAGGAGCCCCTGCTCCCGGCGCCGCATGCAATATTCAGTGTTTTGTTCACTTGTCTAATTGCACTCAAATATTTAGCTCCCTTTAGGGTCGCGATGGCGGGTGTACGCTGCGAAATGCAAGTCTCCCCCGGAGCGAGACGAGATTCCGTCTCTCCTCTCCCATGAGCTCTAGGACCAGGGTCAGCAAACTGCGGCTCCCGAGCCACAGGCGGCTCTCTGGCCCCTGGAGGGCGGCTCTTCCACAAAACGCCACGGCCTGGGCGAGGCCGTGTTGAAGAAGCGGCCTTAGGAGAAGTTTAAGTTAAACCATGGGGCTCTCCAGAGAAATGTCAGGCCTTGTGCTGTTGGTGTTTGGCTCTGTGGACGGATGAGTTTGCCGACCCCTGGGCTAGGACAGGGAACCCAGAGCAGCCGGGTGAGTCTTTCCAAACAAGGACACGCGGGCTGACAGCTGGGGGGGGGGGGGCTGTGGCCTGTGGGTCCCGGGGGACAGGGCAGGGGTGTCGAGGGTCCCGGGGGGGGCAGGGCAGGGGGCGTCGGGGGTGTCGGGGGGACAGGGCAGGGGGTGTCAGAGGGACAGGGCAGGGGGTGTTGGGGGTCCCGGGGGGACAGGGTAGGGGTGTCGAGGGTCCCAGGGGGGACAGGGCAGGGGGTGTCGGGGGTCCCGAGGGGACAGGCCAGGAGGTGTTGGGGGTCCCGGGGGGACAGAGTAGGGGGTGTTGGGGGTCCCGGGGGGACAGGGCAGGGGGTGTCGGGGGGACAGGCCAGGAGGTGTTGGGGGTTCCAGGGGGACAGAGTAGGGGGTGTTGGGGGTCTCGGAGGGGACAGGGCAGGGGGTGTCGGGGGTCCCGGGGGGACAGAGTAGGAGGTGTTGGGGGTCCCAGGGGGACAGGGCAGGGGGTATTGGGGGTCTCGGGGGGACAGGGCAGGGGGTGTCGGGGGGACAGGGCAGGGGGTGTCGGGGGTCCCGGGGGGACAGAGTAGGATGTGGGGGTCTCGGAGGGGGCAGGGCAGGGGGTGTTGGGGGTCCCGGGGGGGACAGGGCAGGGGGTGTCGGGGGTTCCGGGGGGACAGAGTAGGAAGTGGGGGTCTCGGGGGGGACAGGGCAGGGGGTGTTGGGGGTCCCGGGGGGACAGAGTAGGAGGTGTCGGGGGTCCCGGGCCCCCTGTGAGGAGCCCCTCGCGGGGGTCGCGTGTCATCGGTGGCATTTGAGCTGCATATGCTCGGCGTGTTGAACAGATCAGGGAAGCCGCTCCGGTTGACAGTGTCTCGCACACAGTTTTGAAGGAACCAGGGCGAACTTTCGCAGAGTGGGTTTTTATTGGAAAAATATTTTTCTGGGAATGGATCGGTGTTTATTTTCGAGGCTGACAATCCGGGTGAGAATCCGGGGTGGGGGGAAACAAAGACACAACAATTTGGTGGGAATCAGTTGTTTGTTTTCGTCGCGTTGGCACGCCTTCCGGAAACTCCCGGTTCGGTGTGTTTGCTGGTGGCTCCGGGCGCCGTCGGCCTGGCAGGGAGCTCACCTCCTGGGGGGCCCCTGGGTGCGGGGGCCCCCGGGGTGCGGGGAAGACCCTGCAAACGTGCGACACCTCCGGGTCCCAGCGAGCTGTCCCTTCCCTTCGCTCCAGGTCACACACCGGCCTGCTGCCCGCCCAGCTCTGGTCTCTGTTGGTGAGTCCTTTGGTGCAAGGAGATCCTGTCCATGACGTTGAGTTTAATCACATATGGCTGTTGGGTCCGCGTGCACACGTTTAAATCAAATTAGAACTGGAATTCGCTGCCAAGAACGCTGGGAGAGGTGTGGGGCCAGTGGATGAGTCACGGGCACCTGGGGAGGGACTGAGGGAACCCTCCCCGGCGGCAGATCGGCCAGAGCCACGTCCACCACCACGTGAGTGCGTGAACAAACAAGCTGGTATGGCCCTGCGGCTGGGCGGCCCAGTGGTTAACCGCCCCCTGTGAGCCAGGAGGTCTCGGCTCGATTCCCGGTCAGGGCACGCCCCCGGGTGCCAGGCTCAGTCTCCAGTGCGGGGCTTGCAGGAGGCAGCGGATCAGCGGTTCTCTCCGATCAGCGACGTTTCTATCTCCCCCTTCCTCTCTGGAAAACCAATGAAAACATAGAAATTAAAAATCTAAAACAACCCCGAGGTGGGAGCCGGCCGCCGGGTGGACTTTCCGGCGCTCAGCTGTCCCTCTCCCCCCCCCGAGTCCCCCGTCCCTGCCAGCGGGCACCGCCTCGGACAGCGGTCAGAGCCACACACCCCTGACCGGCTCCCCGCTGTCAGGCCTCGCCGCCCCAGCTCCGGGGCCCAGGCTCCTCCCGGACGCCAGCGCCCCCTCCCCAGACGCCAGGCGGAGCGGTCGGCGCCAGGCTGGGTTCCTCCTGTTCCTCCAGGAGGGCATCTCGTGGCCTTTTCTTTATATATATATTTTTAAATATATATTTTATCGTTTTTTTTTACAGAGAGGAAGGGAGAGGGATAGAAAGTTAGAAACATCGATGGGAGAGAAACATCCATCAGCTGCCTCCTGCACTCCGCCCACTGGGGATGTGCCCGCAACCAAGGTACATGCCCTTGACCGGAATCGAACCTGGGACCCTTGAGTCTGCAGGCTGACGCTCTACCCACTGAGCCAAACTGGTTAGGGCTTATTTTCTTTTTTACTGTTTTTTTTTTTTACAGAGAGGAAGGAAGAGGGATAGAGAGCTAGAAACATTGATGAGAGAGAGAGAGAGAGCGACCAGCTGCCTCCTGCACTCCGCCCACTGGGGATGTGCCCGCAACCAAGGTACATGCCCTTGACCGGAATCGAACCTGCGACCTTTCAGTCCAAAGACAGGACGCTCTATCCACTGACTCACACCCGTTTCTGCTCAAAGCCCTTTCCCAGAAGCCCCTCCACCCTGAGAGGCAGGCGCTTCACCAGGCCAGTGTCTCCCGTCAGCGCCCTCCGGGGGCGAGTCCAGAGGGCCTGGGCTCCGGGCAGCCCCGGGCAGCCGCTCGGACCAGCCTGGCTCACCCACAGCTGAGTGAGGTGCAGGGCCTGGGAACCCGCAGGGCCAAACAGCGCCACTGAGGCCCAGCCAGGCCTCTGCCCAGCCCCCTGCGCCAGGCCGGAGTGCCCATCCCAGAACTCAGCGGGAGCGACTGACAATAGAAGCCTTTCCCCAGGCTGGCCGCTTCCTGTCGGAGGCCACAGGCCAGCCCCAAGCTCTGTTACCCGCTTTATGGGGACACATCGGGGGGTGACCCTGCCCAGAGCAGCTGCATGGTCAGCACCCCCGCGCCCCCCTCTGATGGGTGCGAGGCGGACAGAGACGGTCAGGAAGGAACTGGGCACAGCAGGCCAAAGAAATGCCGGCTTCCTTCTCTCCTCCCCCAGCTGGAGGGGCCCCCAGAGCAGCCGCAGGCACAGGCCCGGGGACCCCGCAGGAGGGGACATGCCCCCTGCTCCGCCCTGGGCCAGGCAGGCGGCTGGGCCCCCGTGAGTGACAGTGCCTGAGGGGCGCCTTTTAGCCGCGAGGATTCTCAGGGCCCTGAGACGTGGCTGTGGGGCGAGCCAGGCTGTGGGGCGAGCCAGGCTGGTCCGGGCGGCCAGGGGCTCAGGGTTCAAGTTCACTGCACGGCCAAGGGCGAGCAGGCCTTGGGCTCCTCAGCAGACAGCGTGCAGGCCTGGGTCCCGGCCTCCCCTGGGCACCATGCCGGTGGCGAGTGCCAGCAGCCCTCCCCTGGCCGTGCCCCTGTCTGAGCGCCCATGGCTAAGGGGACCAGACGTCCCGCTTTCTAACAATTTGTCCCGCGTCGTTTTAAAAAGCCCCGATTTTTGGAAAGAATCTTTTAAATCTTTTGGACTTTTTTTTAAAACGCCGAGGGAAATGGGACAAATTGTTAAAAATTGGGACTGTCCCGCCAAAAGTGGGACGTCTGGTCACCTTACCCATGTCACATGTGCGTCTGAGGGCCCCATGTCACACGTGCGTCTGCAGGCCCCTTCGGAGGCCGGCCGGCTGGGCCGGAGCAGAACCAGGATGCTCATACCCGTGTGCTTTCCTGAGGATTTCTGAGGTTTGGGTTTTTTCTCTTGGTATTTAATTCGGCAGCGATCAGGTTTCCGGGCTCCGATGGCCCAGGCTGGGATCTGAGAGCTGCGGGCAGGCAGAGGTGGGGTTGGAGGGCAAACCCATGTGACCATGTGTGGCCCAGAACGGAGACAAAGAGGCCCCACAATCTTGGGCAGCTTGAGCGGCCGGGGACTCCCCCATGCCCGCGCCTGGTCCCTCTGTCAGGGGCGGAGGGAGGCCACGGGGGCCAGCCCTGCTTGCAGGAAACTGGGGACTCCCTCATGACCGCGCCTGGCTACCCGAGCTGCGTTCTGTCACAGAGGCGCCTCCTGCTGGCCGGGAGCTGCCCCTGGGAGCTGGGGACTCTCCTGGGAATGGGCCCTCCTCCCCATGACCGCCTGCTGCAGACCCCGGAGCCCGGCCCTGCACACCCCCAGGCCGGCCTGTAACCGCCCACTCTGCACCCATCCCTATCCCTCTGCTACTTCCCCACACAATCTCTGTCTGACCCCTTATGGCGGGAGGGGCGCAGGCTTCTGTGGGTGACCTGCTGCTCCCCCACGCTGCCCGCACTATCAGACCAGCGCCCACCGAGGACGCAGCCCTGCCTGCTGACCCGGCTCAGGCAGTGACGGGCAGCCCGGACCCCGTTGTTGCCCACACCGGCCCGGAGCCTAGTCACCTGCCTGCAGACCCGGGGCCCTGCCCTTGGCCACCGCCAGCCGGGCTCAGCCAGCCCGGCTCCAGCAGGAAGAGGGGCCGAGCCGGCTCTGAGGCCCGGGGTGCAGCGGTGATGTCCCCTTGCTGCTGGTCCCGCAGGCCTGTGCCTTCCCGGCTCCCCTGGGGAGGAGAGCGGGAAGGAAACCCCGACATTCCCGCTGCCTGCTGGGTACAGTTCAGCTCCCCTGGGAGCTGGGCTGGGCTGGCACCCACTGTGCAGATGGGGAGACTGAGGCTACATGAGACATCAGGCTTGCTCAGTCTGGCAGCATTCTGTTCTCTGAGCCTGTAGACACCTCAGAGGTCCCTCAACCTGTGCCCTCAACCGGTGACCCAGGCGGGGTGTGAAAACGCAGGTTCCTGGGCTGAGGCGATGCCCTGGATTCTGTCTCTGCGTCCTTCTTGTTTTTTTTACCCTCACCTAGGATTTTTTAAATATATTCTTATTGATGTCAGAGAGGAGGGGAAAGAGGGAGAGAGAGAAACATCAATGAAGAGAGAGACTCATGGATCCACTGCCCCCTGCACGCCCCACATTGGGGACTGAGCCTGCAACCCGGGCCTGTGCCCTGACCGGGAATCGAACCCTGACCTCCTGGACCGTAGTCTGACGCTCCGCCACTGAGCCACGCCGGCCAGGCTGTCTTACTGATTTGAGAGAGGAAGGGGGAGAGAAGGAAACACCAATGTGAAAGAGAAACATGGTTCAGATGTGTCCCCTACATGCCCCAACTGGGGATGGGACCTGGAACCTAGGTGTGTCCCTGACCAGGACTGGAACCCCCAACCTTCTGGTGTTTGGGATGGTGCTCTAACCATTGAGCCGCCTGGCAGGACGGCGTGTGCTTCTTCACCGGCATCTCAGCTGACGGTGGAGGGCGGTGTGGCTCGGCTCGGAGCAGCGCCCTCGCCTTGCCCTGGGCACAGCCTCAGGGGTGCACCGGGGTGCGCAGGCGGGGGGGCGGGCGGGGGGAGGAGTCCTGGTGTGTCCTGGTGCCCAGGCTCAGGTCAGGGGCTGGCAGGGTGCTGGGTGGGCGTGGGGGTCACTCTGTGGGGAACAATGAGTCCTTTGCAGGGGGATCTGGTGGGCCGAGCGGGAAGACCCCTGAGAGGATAGGGAATCCCAGACACACACGGTCCTTTTGAAAGGACGATGAGAGACAATTTCTCCTCCTCTCTCTTTCCAGATGCGTTTTTCCATGAATCACGCCGGCATGGGTGTGTGACGTCCCCCGGGGACTCAGGGCCCCTGGGCGCACCCCTGACTGCAGGCCGAGGCCACGTGGTCACCCCAGGATCCTTGCAAACTGCTGGAGGCAGAGAGCCCAGCCTCTGGGACAGAGAGCGGCGGTTCAGACAAAAGGGTTTGTGCTGGGCTCCCAGATCGCCTGCACCCACTTCCCTCCTCCTCCTCCTCCTCCTCCCCCTCCTTCCCTTCTCCTAGCGAGTCCCGGTCCAGCCCAACAGGGGACCTGGACTGCGGACTCAGACTCAGGCTCCAGGCAGTGTCCCTGCTGGCTGGCTGTGCCTGTGTGAGCCTCAGTTTCCCCATCTGTAAAATGGAGCCGCTACTCCACGCTGCAGAGCAAAGGGAGTCCCACCTGTCCCGTGCCAGCCTCCGCTGGCATCCACTCCTCACTCCCTTTGCTGTCGGGCATGGTGCCACTGACTCCTCCGTTCTTTCTCTGTTGGGGACACAGGAAGCAGGTAAATTCTTTTTCTGCATCTTTGATTCTTCAGTAAAGCTTGTGTTTGTTTAAAAATGGCTTTGCCTGGCTGTTTTGGCTCCGTGGCTGGAGCGGCGGCCTGAGGACCGAGGGGGCGTGGGTTCGATTCCCTGGTCAGGGCCCCGCAGGAGGCAACCAACCGATGTGCCTCTCATGTCGATGTTTCCTTCCCTCCCTCCCTCCCTCCCTCCTTCTCTCTCTAGAAATCAATGGGAAAATATCCTTGTGGGAGGATTTTTAAAAAGGCTATACAGGGGCTTTTATAACCCATGCATCCCCCAAAATTTTAGCTCAATAGTCAGGTAACTTAGGACAAGATTTGTGCATTTCACTCACAGTGACTCCCCTCACCAGGTGCACCCCCTATTTCCTCATCCAGTCCGGCTGTGCACTAACCACCTCCAGGGTCCTTCACAGCTGACTCCCTGGCCCCGCCTCCTGCAGCCCTGGCCCCGCCTCCTGCAGCACTGGCCCCGCCCCCGGAGCCCTGGCCCCGCCTCCTGCAGTCTCTGCCCCGCCCCCCGCAGCCCTGGCAGAGGTGCCTGCCTGGATCAAACACACCCACAGTCAGCATGTAGTGTGGCTCCTGCATTCTGGGCCTAGGCTCCTGCACAGCTTCAGCTCCCTAGAGAGGCCGGGCCTGTGCCCCCCACGTGTTCCTGTGTCCCCCAGTGTGCCCCCCACATGTCCCTGTGTCCCCCATGTGCCAGCACAGCCTTCAGGATCAGTGTTATCACTGATGAAACGCAGCTGTGAATTGGGAACGAGACAAAGAGCCACGTGCAGACCATCCTGAAGACACCCCCCCCCCCCCACATATATATACGTACACACACATACACACACACGGAGGAGTGTGCAGGGTACCAGGGGTCTCAGGGCCCTGAGGGACCCCGTTCCCCTGCCAGCGCATGGTGTGCATGTGTCCCCGGGGTCTCAGCCCCCCTGAGGACCTCCCAGCGCAGGGTGTGCGTGTCCCTGGAATCTGTCTCCCCCCCCCCCCCAGAACACCCCCCAGCGCGGGGTGTGCGTTCCCTGGGCTCTGAGCCCCCCCTCCCCCCAGAACACCCCCCAGCGCGGGGTGTGCGTTCCCTGGGCTCTCAGCCCTCCCCCCCCCCCCCCCGAACACCCCCCAGCGCGGGGTGTGCGTTCCTGGGCTCCCAGCCACCTCCCCCAGAACACCCCCCAGCGCGGGGTGTGCGTTCCCTGGGCTCTCAGCCCTCCCCCCCCCCCCCCAGAACACCCCCCAGCGCGGGGTGTGCGTTCCCTGGAGTCTCAGTCCCCCCCCCCCCCCCCAGAACACCCCCCAGCGCGGGGTGTGCGTTCCCTGGAGTCTCAGTCCCCCCCCCCCCCCCAGAACACCCCCCAGCGCGGGGTGTGCGTGTCCCTGGAGTCTCAGTCCCCCCCCCCCCCAGAACACCCCCCAGCGCAGGGTGTGCGTTACCTGGGCTCTCAGCCCTCTGCCCCCCAGAACACCCCCCAGAACACCCCCCAGCGCGGGGTGTGCGTTACCTGGGCTCTCAGCCCCCACCCCCCCAGAACGCCCCCAGAACACCCCCCAGCGCGGGGTGTGCGTTACCTGGGCTCTCAGCCCTCTGCCCCCCAGAACGCCCCCCAGAACACCCCCCAGCGCGGGGTGTGCGTTACCTGGGCTCTCAGCCCCCCCCCCCCAGAACACCCCCCAGCGCGGGGTGTGCGTTACCTGGGCTCTCAGCCCCCACCCCCCCAGAACACCCCCCAGCGCGGGGTGTGCGTTCCCTGGGCTCTGAGGCCCCCCCTCCCCAGAACACCCCCCAGCGCGGGGTGTGCGTTACCTGGGCTCTGAGCCCCCCCCCCCCCAACACCCCCCAGCGCGGGGTGTGCGTTCCCTGGGCTCCCAGCCCCCCCGCCCCCCAGAACACCCCCCAGCGCGGGGTGTGCGTTACCTGGGCTCTCAGCCGCTCCACCTCCTCAGACAGGCTCTGCCTCTCCTGCAGGAGCGCGTTCTGCTTGCTCAGCAGCTGCACCAGTTGCTGGGCGGTGGCCTGGCTGTGCTGGTCCAGCTGCTGCAGCCTGGACAGACGGACAGACGGAGAGACCAGTGAGTCAGACATGGCCCTGAGCCCTGAGGGTCTGAGGGGCCCTGATGGGGGAGGCCCAGCCGGAGGGGCCCGGGAGAGCACGCGGTCATGGAGGGGACGGTCCACATGTGAAAGGCCACCAGCAGCCCTCAGCACAGGAGCACACAGGAAGGCGGATGAGAAGAGTGGGCACCTTACACCCGAGGTCAAAGGCCAGGGCCGGCCTGCCTCCACGGGCAGCTGGACACTACCCCCCCCCCCCCCCCCAGGGCAGACACCAGCCTCTGGGCAGCGGCAAGGAGGGGACATGGGCTCAGGGTGCCCATTGCTCAGCACCCAGTCCCTCACGCGGCACCTCGCTGACCAGAGTCTTAAAGACCCTAAATCCGTCCCCTGCCGCCGGCGCCTGCTCCAGGCTCGCCCTGCACCCCCACGGTGTGCCCCTCTCCACCGACGTTTCCTATCCGGCTCAGCGCAGCCGGGCCAGAGGCGGGGGTTCAGATGGGACAGGGAGCCAGCACCCCACTCTGAAGACCTGGCTGCCCCCACGTCTCTGACAGTCCGCAGCGGCTAAGAGCACCCACGTGACATCAGCTTGTCTTTTCACACACACACACACGCACACACACGCACACGCACACATGCACACATGCACACACATGCACACGCACACATGCACACATGCACACGCACACACACACAGGCAGCATGCGTGCACATGCACATATACATGAGCACACACGGGGTTTTGAAAGCTCGGGACCCATTTCAAGCTCTTGCCTCCGTGTCCAACACTGAGGCAAAGACCCCAAAGCCTGTTCTGCAGACACCGGGCCTTCCTGGGGGCTCTGAGCAGAATCCAGCCCCCACCCCACCCCCCACCCCTGTGTCCAGAACTGAAGGGGCGCCCACTTGGGGTGCCCTATTGAAACACATGCCCTGGCGCCACTGGACATTCATCGGAGCCGTCTCCCAGGGAGGAGGCCTCCGGGGCTCAGAGCCCAGCGGGAAAAGGACACGGACGTCACTGCCGCACTCACAGGCTGGGCTCCCCCGGGCTCATCCGTGCACAGCCCGCTGCCCCCACTGCCCCCCTGTAACACGGAGCAGGAGGCGGTGAGCACGCCCCAGACCCTGAGACCCTTGTCCGGCTCACCCCAGGACGGGCTGGGCCTTGGGGCGAGCAGGCGCCCTCAGACCCTCAGTCAGCCCCCCTCCCTGCACTCTCCCGAGGAATGGACACAGCGCATGCTCACACAGCCCCAGGCCCAGGGTCCGGGCCTGGGCTGGTCCCGCCCACCGGCCTCCTCTCCCCAGCCCTGGAGGAGGAGAGTGAGGCCGGGGACAGGAGCCTGACCCTGAGCCAAACAAGCCCGTCAGAGAAAGACGAGCATCTCATGATCTCACTCCTGTGTGCAACCCAACGGACACCGTAAGCTGATGAGCCAAACACACCCGCAGACATGGGCACAGGGAGCAGACGGGAACCTCAGAGGGAGGGGGCGGGGAGAGAGCACAGAGAACATGTGTGCATCTGTGCATAACCCAGACACAGACGCGGGGAAGGGGGGCTGGTAGACGTCAATGGGGAAAAGGGGACACACGTCATACGCTCATCAATAGCAGATGATTGGATCAAAAAACCATGGTACGTCTACACAATGGAATACGATGCTGCCATGAAAAAGAAGGAATTCTCATCATTTGCAGCAGCCGGGATGGAATTGGAGAACATCATGCTGAGTGAAATGAGCCAGTCAATGAAAGAGAAACACCACATGACCTCACTCATTTATGGATAATAAGGAACATTATAAACTGATGAAAAGATATTGAGACAGTAAAGCAACAAGCAGACTGTCAGATTACAGCGGGGAGGGGAGGGAGATCTGGGGGAGATAAGAGATCAACTGAAGGACGTGTATACATGCACATAAGCATAACCAATGGACGCAAAACTCTGGGGAGGGAGGGCATGTACGGGAGGGGGGGCAATGGTAAGACATGTACACAGATAATAATTTGTTAAAAAAAATGTTTCTTATAGAAGGACCACAGGCCAGCTCAGTCCCTCCTTCGTGTCTGCGGCAGCTCCTCGCCCCCAGCCTGGGCCGCAGTCAGACCGGCCCCCCCATCCCCGGGGGGAGGGGGGCACAGAGCCCCTCTTCCCCGTCCCCTCCCCCTGCTCCTGGGTGGACACAGAACGTTCCCTGCTGAAGCCTGGCTGAGGCTGTGGGAAGGCCATCTGCCCCGCCCGCCCCCCCCAACGCCCTGGAAGGAGGAGGAATAATCGGGTTTCCCAGCACAATCCCCAGGGGCCCTTCTCTCCCAAGACCCGTCTCTCATCCCTGCAGAAGGCAGGTATCCCCCTTCCCCAGAGGCCCCGGGGTGCCCAGGGGTGCTGAGGCCACCCCCACCCAGGAAGCACCTGTGCCTGCCGGCCAGTCCCCGGGACAGGGCACGTCTGAGCCCCCTGCACCCCAGGCTGGGGCACCGGCCCCGAGGCGCACACCCGGGCAGGACCGGGGAGTCCGGGGGAGCAGAGCAGCCTCGCCCATCCTGGGGCCCAGCTCCCCGGGAGTCACCGGCCTGCAGGGCAGCGGTCTCCGTGGCAACCAGCTGTGCTTAAGCCCGGGATGCGGATGCCCGGAAAGGCCCCGGTGTGCGTGCAGGGCCGGGCCTCCGTGCCGGTCCAACGCGATCGGCCCCGCACACCCTGCAGGTGCCATCAGAGCCAACGCGGTTTTAAAGGCGCAAAACCCGAGAGGAGACGGAGCAAGCGGGGTGGCAGCAGGCGACTGCGAGCCGGGCGGGCAGGCGGGGAAAGCCGCTCATGCAAAACAGAAGCCGCGGCGCACGCAGCCAGCTCCGGTCCTATCCGCAGACACGCGTTTGCGATGAATACTGTGAAAGCCAGTGAATACACATACATTTCTTTCGTGTTGTATGTGATGCATACCAAATATATGCAGTGTGTACTCAGTTATGAGGCGCCATCACCAAGTGAACACTGTGAGCCGGGTACCCGCACTGCGGGGGCCACGCCCCGCGGATCTGTCTCCGGGCCAGACATGTGCACCCCCTGGGCCCCAGCGGCGGCCAGGGTCCTCATTAATATGGATATGTGTACACAAAATATACACAAATATGTATACACACATATACATATACCGTGTTTCCCCGAAAATAAGACATCCTCCGAAAATAAGACCTACTTACAGGTTTCCTTCTGAGTGAAATATAAGGCATCTCCCCCGAAAATAAGGCCCCCCTCCCCCAGGCTAAACATGAGAGATTTGGTCCACTGATTCTGAAAGAAATGGAGTCACAAGAAATTCACCAGGAAATTCAGGAATTGGATTGTGATGATGATGTTCCAGAAGATGATGACATGGGTTGTCATTGAATAAACGAGTACATTCCTGATACTGTAGGATTCACAGTTTACAGGTAATAAATTTCCTTTATTTTCATTTCACAATAAATGTGTACCGTATTCTTCTTCATGGAAAAATAAGACATCCCCTGAAAATAAGACCTAGCGCATCTTTGGGAGCAAAAATTAATATAAGACACTGTCTTATTTTCGGGGAAACAGGGTACGTACTTATCTATACTTAGAATAAGGCGATATGCAAATTGGCCTGGGACACCTCCACATAACAACCGAACAGCAGGAGGGTGGGGCAGCCAGCTACTCAGGCACAGATTCGTGCACAGGGCCACTGGTGTGTACACACACACACACACACACACACACACACGTACATCCTCACCCAAAGATATGTTGTTGTTGTTGTTAGTCCTCACCCTAGGATATTTTTTCCATTGGCCCTTAGGGAGTGGAAGGGAGGGGCGGAGACCGAGAGAAACATCGATGAAAGAGAGACACATGGATTGGCTGCCTCCCACAGGCTCCCTGCCCGGGGCTGGGCATTGAGAGCCTGCAACCCAGGTACATTCCTGTGACTGGAATCGAACCTGCGACCCTGCCGTCCAGGGGGCCAACACTCTCACCGCTGTGCACCCCGGCTACGGGGAACTCACCCCCTTGGTAAACAGGATGGCACTCCAACCCGCTGAGGTGCCCGGCCAGGGCCCTCAGACGTACGTTGAGCTTCCTGCAGTCTGCTGCTGGCATATACACTGTTGTTTTGGGGGGGAGGGTGGTAGTAAAATGCCTTTTGTCCTGAGATGGTTTCAGACCGGAGTGCCTCCCTGTGGTCACTGTGGCCACAGGAAGGCTTTCTCTCCCCGTGCTGAGCCATGTTCCCCCAGTGCTCAGGCCAGCTCCCCCCGCTGAGGCTCCTTATGGATGGGAAGGCCATTTTCCCAACAACATGTGGAGTGAAAAGGTGCAGATACTTTGACTGTAAAACACGCACTCAGTCCCCTAGCCCAGTGGTCGGCAAACTCATGAGTCCACAGAGCCAGATACCAACAGGACGATGATTGAAATTTCTTTGGGGAGACAAAATTTTTTAAACTATAGAGATAGGTACATTGTTATTAATGTAATAAGGGTATGTGGTATTTTGGGGAAGAGCCACACTCAAGGGGCCAAAGAGCCTCCTGTGGCTCGAGAGCCACAGTTTGCCGACCACTGCGCTATTCCCAGGAGCAGGCTCTAGCATTTACCCAGCACTTGCTCGGGGCAAGGGGCGTCGAAAGCATTTTACTTTCTAAAATATATTTTATAGATTTTTTACAGAGAGGAAGGGAGAGAGATAGAGAGGTAGAAACATTGATGAGAGAGAGTCATCGATCAGCTGCCTCTTGCACACTTCCCACTGGGGATGCGCCCGCAACCCAGGTACATGCCCTTGACCGGAATGGAACCCGGGACCTCTCAGTCTGCAGACCGACGCTTTACCCCCTGAGCCAAACCGGTTTCGGCGTTGTAAGCATTTTACATTCATGAACTGATTTAAGCCTCCTAACAATACTGAACAGCAGGCATCATCTGCATCTTTGCCAGCCCCGTCATTTCCC